GATCCGAAATAATCTTCAGACTAACTTTTGACTCTAGTTTCAATGTTGTCCATCAAAAAAAAAAAAAAAAAAACAAATCGCTTTCGACATTGTTGGCAAATACAGGGAAAAGGATCCAAGCGTTTAAGAATAAATTTATAAACAAAGGTAAAAATTTCATTTGTTTCTCAGAAATTTTAAGTTTTGCGGAAAGGGTTTAAATTTTTGGAGACACCATCATCTCTAGATAACCCATATATCAAAAACAGAGAAGGTTTCGCCCTTGGTTTTCTGTCTATATTTCTGAGATGAGGAATTATGTATACTGTGATAGATTTATTGGGATTATTGTCCTCATCTTTGTCACCATATTTGATTCTGATTTCAGCCCTTCAAGTATTAATTTGTCAATATTTCGTTGACTTTGGGAATTACGTACACATATTTACATTTCATTCGGACTATTGTTTCATCTTTGTTACAATATTTAACAATCTTAGGAGAATTCAAGAACGATTTTAAGTATAAAAGGAATATTTCGTGAGATGACAGTTTCATTTTGGCCATTTCATTAGGGTGATTATCTAACAGTGGATAAATGTGTTAGTTAGACCGAAAGTAACAGGACTCAAACAGTGTGAGTTCAATCACCTAATTAAGCAAAGTGGAGACCATTACACCACGTCGGAGATAACTAGGATAATTGACATCCATTAGACATGGCACATGGCTTGGAATAGTTTTGAGCACCCAGTGAAAATAAAGGGTTCAGTTAAACATTCCAACTCAGTCGTGATTAATCTACAAAGACAAGCTATTATAAAACGTTGATAAATCCTTATCAGGCATCAAAGATGAGTGCAAATAAAGGTTGAAAATTGTTATTCTATCAGAACAGAGCAATTTGAAAGAAGGTAAATTAAAACAAACATTCGTTTAATTTAATTACCAAATAATAAAAGTGGTTAAGTAAATGTGATATTGTTATATGAGTTTTTTTTAAATTATTCATTAAATTACACAACATACTATAATCCTCCCAGATTTAGCACCAAAAGACTTTCAAGAATAAAATTGATGAATATTTGCAATCCAGACGTTTTGAGATGTTTTTTAAAAACGGGGAAAAATTTTCAATAAATAATTTAAAGTCTAAAAGATAAATATTGCATTGCTGAGCGTAAAAGATATTTTGATAATCTTAGTGAGGGAAAGGGTTTGTTTTAAATAAGATTCAAAAAAAAATGATGATGAAAGCAGTTATAACAATACAACATTATTGAAATTTTTTATCTATGATATCTATACATATTTACAAAGATGAAGTGGTAACATTTGTTTATTCCACATTATCTATCAGACGGTTGGAATAATTTTTATCTATCACCCTACAAAACATTGACTGTTGCTGCTGACTATTTGCAGAATGCAATAAGGATATGAAGACAATTTGGGAGTTATTTTTTTATGCGTCTTTGAAATTTAATTTTTCGTTTGAAATTTCAAATCTTTTTAAAATATCTATCTATCTGACGACATTTCATTGATAATATCTATTTATTGCTCAAGTGATATTTGATTAGACGGATAAATCTTTTCGTCGAAAAATTTACGAATTACCGTCTATCTATTTTGAATTTCTTTCTAGGTTTCTTGTAAAAATCTATCTTAAATCAAATATGCGTTTTTTATCTAAATTAATATAAACAAGAAAAAATGAATAAAGACGAATATTTTTCAACATTATTTAAAATGTTTTAATCAATTTGTTTGTTTTGTTTTTATTTTCATGGCTTCTTCAAAAAAAACCGGTTTTTAATGCATTAGTCAAAAGTTTTTGTTGGATCTTTGGTAATATTACAAATCCATATTTGAATTACCGGACTCTGTAATTATTACAAAAATTTATTGCTGGGAATAATTTTTTTTACTAAAAAATATTAAATTATTTTTCTTTTTTATTTTTTTAATATCATGCTATTTTTGAACCCCATATATGGGACCCAACAGATACTACCACCCCAGGTATGTGTGGAATATTTTAATCACTAATTAAATTTTACAAGTTCAAAACCTCCTGATCATATTAAGTTATTACATATATTCGATCGTTTTTGTCTGATGTTCTGCTAATGATCTCGAAGAATGATATCTTTTGCAGCATTTTTTTTCTTAATAAGTTTGGTCATTCTGAAAATGTTGCCTTACGTTATTGAAATGTTTTATTAAAATTAAACATTTTCAGACGTAATGCAAAGTAAACAAAATGATAATTTGACATATCCTTGAAATTTGTTTTTAATCAAACTTCACAACAGCTGCTAATTCATTTATTAAAAAAGTTGTCACTATGTATGGAAGTAAGTTCATTTTATTTTAAGAAAATATTTCCACTTTTAGAAAGAATAGAAGTTCCAAATAAAAACTCTTTGTATTGTCCGATCTGTTCAGACCAATGAGAACCAATTTCACGTAAATGACGCCAAACTTTTATACAATACTTTTCAGAAGAAAAGAAACAAAAAAATATTGTTAAATCGCAAATCTTCATTTTTTTTTTTTTTTTCCATAAATACGACGCATGCGTGTCACACATTCACCAAAATTAAACATAGAAACGCTTCTGAATTTACTCTAAATAAATTTTGAAATGTGATTCGTGGAACAGGTAAGTGAATATTTTTTTTTTTTCGAGTCAAAACCTCCCCAAAATGTCAAGGGAGAGGATAATTATTTTGTTGATAGGAGGTGAAAAAAGAATAATGACGAGGAAGAACAATTTTGAATGGTTTCTGAACTATTAATAAATAAGTATTAAAATTAATTATAAAAAAATAAATAAATGTATACCATATATATATATCTATAGTTCAATATAATAGGCGATAAAGAATAAAATGTGTTAAACCAGAACAAAAACCTATATATAATTTAATAGATTCTTTAATATAATAATAGTAGTAGTAGGAGTTTAGTAGTAGTAGTAGCAGTCGCCATTGACTCAGTGGAGATGAGTGAGTCAGTCGATGTCGGACTTATTAAAATCAACCATCACAACTAGATTTGCGTCTTTAACTCTTATTTCAAGTTCCATAACGTTTTGAACGTCGGATTGTTTATGGACCGACTTAATTATGTTTTATGCCTTATGTCCTGAAAACTACTCTACAACAAAATGAAAAGAAGAAAGACTTAAAAATTATATTAACAGTTTATAAACAAGTTTTATTTATTAAGGAAACACAGATAATGAATTATTTTTACAGACATTTTTCATATTAACGTAAAAGATTATAAACAACTGTTGCGTGAATAGGGGATATTTATATTTATATATTTATATATATATATGAGATTATATATATATAGTTTGAGAGAGAGAGAAGACACCTATTCTAAAGTTTTTATATCTCCCAAAAATAATAAGTTTTTTTTTTTAGTATGCATTTTGTCCCAGTCGGACAAACGTTAGTCGGATACTAAAGTATCAGCGACCACAACTAGATTTCTCTGCGTCATTACCTATTATATCAAGTTCCTAACGTTTTGTACATCAAACCTATTTTAGGACTGACTTAGTACAAATACAAGCCTCCACTGTGAAACCACTCCATAACAGATTGAAATTAATTTTCAGAAACCGTTAAAATGCCAAGAACTAAACAGATTGGTATTGAGAAAAAGAGCCCAAGTAGAAATTCTTTCTATACACATGAAACTTGATTTATTTTTTAAGTTCAGAGAGGGTAAAAAAAAAAAAAAATATCAATGTGGTCCCAAACTTTTGGTCAATAGTATATATATAATTTATTCAAAAATTATAACCTAAATATTTTATAAAATCACTACAAAAATAGCCATTTTGTTTCAACACTTCTGGTGTCTTCTCAAGTGATGGTGTTGAATGTAGGTTCTACATTTAACCCCATCACTGTGTCACACGCTTTCAACTTTAATCCTAGAGGCTGTCACCCAACATATCATACCATTTTGGCATCAGGCTGACTCCATGAGAAAATTAAAAACATTCCAGGTTAGATCTGCAATACTGAAATTTTGGCTTCCCAAGTTTTCATTACTGCAATTGTTTCTGGTGATTTTTTTGTGACAAACTTTTTTGTACAATAACAATTTTTATAATTTGGAAATAACTAAAAATAATTGTGAAATCCAGCAAAAGTCACCCATGAAATAAAAATAATTGCTTGTACAGAAAATAAGGACCTACCTACATATATATATATATATATATATATATATATATAAAATAAAAAATAATTGAAAAATCAGTAAATTGATAGTACGCCCTGAAGATTGGATGGACAAATCCATCTACAAAAGTCTGGAATCGGGATGCTGAAGGTAACATCAATCAGCTAAGTGACAAACTTTTACTTATCTTCATCATATATATCATATTTACTTATCTTCATCATATATATATATATATATATATATATATATCATACACAAGAATACCAATTTCTATTATTTCCATTAATTTGGTAACAGCTTTTAAATTGTATCATTGTCATCAATATGGCAATAAAATAAGCACCAAGGATAAATTTTCCATTTTTTTTTCTAGGCAGTTTAATGAAGGTCAAAGAAAAAAAAAAAATCTATCATTCCCCCCTACCCAAAATACACACATTTCATTTTTATCTAAAAACTGGGAGCAGGAACCCCAATAATGGGAGCAAAAATACACACAGACACTCAAAATCAATAAGGGGAGAAAATGATGGGGTTAGAGAGTGGCACAAGCATTTCTTCAAAGCACCTGCTGTTATTACTGCAGCTGCAGGTGAACAGAGGCAAAATTCCTGAGGCTGACAGGAACTATGGATGGTCAAATGTGATTCAATTTTTTTCAAATTTATTTATTTTGTTCACATTTTTATGAAAAAGCTAAAAATGGCTTTCAAAGATGTACATATTCAAAATTGTTTTTATTGTTAATCATTTTAATTTTTAAGCATTAAAAAAAAATTCTACCAGTTCCATCTCAGATAAAATACATGAAAGGGTAAGATCCAGATAGATAGATAGATAGATAGATAAATAAATAGCAAATGAACAACACATAGCAATTGAGAGTGAAATATGGGAAGAGAGAGAGAGAGAAGGGAAGAGCCAAAGACAGACAATGAGAACCAAAAATAGTGAGAGAGAGAGAGAGAGAGTGAGACAAAGACTGCAAGTGATAGATAGAGGGAGAGAGCCAAATAGAGGAAGAGGCAAAGAGAGACAAAGAGCAAGTGAAAGATGATGAGCAACAGAGAGAGCAAAAGACAGCAAGTTACAGAGAGAGAAAACGAGAGAAAGGAGAGCCAAAGACAGAGATAGGAGAGCAAAATTTGTTGAGTGATAGGGAGAGGGAGTGTCAAAGCCGGCAAGTGATAAAAAAGATTTGTAAAAAAAATATATATATATATATATATATATATATATATATATATATATATGAGAGAGAGATTTAAAATATATGATAAATAAAGAAAAGATGAATGTAAGACAAGACATTCTGGGTTTGTCATGCAGTGGCAATAAGCGTGCTTAATTTTAACTTCATAAAAATGAGATTACTTTTGATTGTATAACGACAGGTGTCATAGCAGTGTGCAATTTTTTAAATTTATTCAGCAAGAAGTATCCAACACCAAATATAACAAACCACTTTTGACATGCTTGATCCTTCACAAAACCTTCTCCATAAACTGCACAAACCTTTTGCATTTGAGCTGAAATTTTAACTTTCCGGCTCCCTGCTTTCCAGCCAACTTTAATCTGCAAAAATTCAAATGCAATGTCAATTGCTATCGACTGTCCTCCTGAATACTCTTTTCTCTCCCCGCTCATTATTATTGTTTCTATTCCTAATTCTACCACACCCTGTATCCTTTTGTGTCTTAGTGGCTTTACTGCCTTACATGGGATGATACCGTTTAAAAATGGGAGATAGATGTTTTACAGTTGAGCTGGCTAGATGTAGCAGTAAGCTCTATGCAAATAGTTTCTTTTCCCACCTGTGGAATTCCTTTCCGGCTGCATGCTTTCAAGCCAACTTTAATCTGCAAAAATTTAAATGCAATATCAATCACTATTCACTGTCCTCCTGATTACTCTTTTGTTCTTACTCCAAGCAATGTTTCTGCATCTAACTCAAGGATTCCCAACATGGTGTGCATGCCTCACTATTGGGGCATAGTAATATTGGGGGGGGGTCATGCGTAGGATGTGCCTCCTATCGGCTTACTATACCAACAGAATAAGGGGGCAATTCAAGAATGAGTTATTAACAGTGAATTGTTTCCTAGTGAACTCAAATTTCATTTTGCATTATTATTTCATGATTAAAATAATCAAAGTATATTACATAATAAGCTTTCATTCAAATATTTTATATTTCTGCCTTTCAGTTCTGTATTATATGTTATAAAACTATAACTGTCTTTTTGTTTTTTTTAATTTTTCTCTTTCATGGACGCCATTGTCTTTGGAGGCTTGTTTAGGGACCAAGTTAATGACCTTTTAAGTTTCCTCCATGTGAATTGCCATAAAATTTTGAATGTGTAAGAATTAAATATTACAGTGGGTTGGCGCCAAAATTTGAGGAATACCAAAGTGAGACATTGTCCAAAATTGGTTTGGAACCACTCTTCTAACTCTTCTACACCCAGTAACCCCTTGTATCTCAGTGGCTTCAACGTGGGGTGCATACCCACTGGTGGGGCATGGTAATATTTTGGTGGGGGGTATGTGTAGGATGTGCACCCTTCGCCTTACTATTCCAACAGAATAAAGGGGCAATTCAAGAATGAGTTATTAACAGTGAATTGTTTTCTAGTGAACTCAAATTTCATTTTGCATTATTATTTCATGATTAAAATGATCAAAGTATATTACATAATAAGCTTTCATTCAAATATTTTATATTTCTGCCTTTCAATTCTGTTATATGTTTTGAAATTATATATATTTAACTGTCTTTTTGTTTTTTCTTTTTAATTTTTCTCTTTCATGGACGCCATTGTCTTTGGAGGCTTGTTTAGAAACCAAGTCAATGGCCTTTTAAGCTTCCTTCATATGAATTGCTGTAAAATTTTGAATATGCAAAATTAAATATTATAAATATAAGGGGCACAAACCTAAATTTTAGAAATACCAATCATTTTGGGGCATGAAAACGTTTATCGAATGGATTCAACTGTACTAAAGAACGTCCAGTAAAATAAAACAGCAAATTTTTATTTACTGTTCTTTGCTTGTAAGTTGAAAAAAAAAAAACACATTATTAGTAGCACTAAATAAAAATAAATGCAAATCAACATAACAATTCTCAAATGCAATGAAAAGTAATTTTTTTTTTTAACTAATTATTTTAAATTAATGAAAACAACCCAAGAGTCATTCAAAGAAGATTACTGAATAAGGTTGTTAGATGAATCTAAGAGAGGAAGGATGAGAAGTGAAAATTATGAGGATATGCAGGATAGATTTTTTAATTGTTTAATGAAGTGGTTAAATTTAGTGATCATGAAATGCATTCATCTCAGGAGTCTGTTCCAAAAAATAGAAAAAAGAAGGGAAGAAGTTGTCCAAAAATTGGTTCCAATAGTGTTAAGAATGACTGCAAAAACTTCTCAACCCTCACCAGATTTATAGACAAAATCAGACAAATACATGCTGGAATTTCTTCCTAGTCAATAAATTTGTGGATTTTTCAGTTTCATCAAAATGTATTTTGTTCCTTCTAATCTTAAAGTCAGAACACTACAATCACTTGACTGTATCCCTTTTGTGCATCAATACCATTCTTAATTTTCTGAACTAGAAAATTATTATGAAATTTTTTTTTTACATTTTTTGTTTTGCATATATATATATATATATATATATATATATATTTTCAAAGTGGAGAACACCTAAGTTAATAGACTTTTTTATTTAAAAAAAATAAAAATTTTAAGTAGGAGTAAAAAAACTTTTAATAATTTTTAAATTCTTCATTTAGAGAAAAATCCAGTCAATTTATGCCGGACTATTTGTTAAATCTTTTTAAAAAGTATCAAAAAACCACAAAAAGATTACTTGAAATAAATTATACCTATTATATCAAGTTCTTAATGTGAAAGATCAAAACCCAGTTTAAATTTATTTTAGGACCAATTTAAAAAAAATACAATTTGAATTCAGTAAAAAAAAATCAATTAATTATATATACATACATAGTTATAAATTTTGTGCGTGTGTGTTGTAAAATTCAAATATGTAAATATACAGACAGAATATTTTCATTCAAGCATGTTTGGAGATGAAAAAAAAAACTTCATTAAATATATATATATATATATATATATATATATATATATAAAGTGAACACTAATTTCAATGCTCAGAAGTACAAACCTTTTCATTTCAACTTAAATGAAATTGTCAAAATTTACAATAACCTACAAATTCATTTTTTTTGAATTTATAAGGTCTGATGAATAAGTATTTTTACAAATTCCAATGGAATAAATTATGAAACCATGGAATATTAGTGTTTAAGCCTTTTTATTATATCCTTACTCTGTCCTGGACATTGAGTTCAACCTGGATTCTATCCTCTTGGAATTTTTTTAAAAAAAAAATATACATGTATGGGTATTTATATATTTTGCATATGTATGTATATATTTATCCATTAATAAAAATAAATATATATATATATATATATATATATATATATATATAAATATATAAAAAATATATATATATAGTTATTTATAAATAATAAAAAGCAAAGCAATGGAATTTGTGGCATGCAGGATCAAAACAGTAAAATAAAAAATTTATTCAATTTACCATATGTATTTTTATTTTATTAAAAAAAATTAACCATTTTTAATAAATTTATGGGCTTTGGATTATTTTTTTTTAATTTTATTATTAAAAGAATTAATTATATTTTGATTTTATTCTTTCCACCTTTAATATTTATTTATTTATTTGATGTTTTCTTATTCTATAAAAATTTTCAAAAACTTTTTGAATGCATTTTAGCATGGCGATATTTTTGTTATTTTTCATCATAAAGAGATGCATTTAAAATTTATAAAAACTGTTGTGTGTGTCAAACTGAAAAAAAAAAAATAAATTAGATAGTTTTTTTTGTCTTCATACCAGGAATCCAACAAAACAAAGAATTTTTTCAAACTGGCTAAATATAAAAACCATTTTAATAATAAATTATGGACTGTTGATTAATTGTTTTGTCTTAATTGTTATTTTAATTAACTTTATGGTGCCTTTACTGATACCCTGATTCTAATGGTTGGAATGAGAATGATCTTGAACATAAAATCAAGAGTTCCAAGAAATAGGATTTAAGATAAACCTTTCCAAAGAGGAATTTTGATCTGGAATTTGAATGAAAGCAGTGATGGTACCTACCTGAACTGATCCTAAAAAAACAGGATGTGAAATTAGTAAATATCTAAGACCATATGGATTATTTCTAACAAAATTTATTATATGTATGATAAGGAAATAAACATAAAATAATAATATAGATTAAAAAACCAATAAATTTTTTTTACAAATAAAAAACATGAATAGCGATAATGAAACTGAACATAAAATAATGTTTTATAGATGAAGTCTCACCCAATACCACAAGCTCAAATAAAAAACCAAAACATTGATTATTATAAAGGAAACTGAATATAAAAATCCAATTTAAAAATAGGATATTCAATTTTTTCCAAACTTAAAATTTCTGTTACAAATGAAAACATTTTATAATAAAATTTTTGAACAAAAAATAGGCTTTAAATAGATGTATATTTCACCCAATATTGTCAACATTGTAATAATACAAAAACACTGACCTGAAAATCAAAAAATCACCAAACCTTAAATGTTATTTTTAAATCGAGACTTTCTTTGTTATTTGACTTATAGTTTTAATTTTTATTGCAAATCTTTATATTTTGAAAGATTATTATTTTAAAAAACCTCTTCTTATCCGTTAACATTTAAATGAAAAAATTAACAAACTTTACCAATTCTGTTTGTTAAATTTTGCCAATTCTAATTAAATATGGCACCAACTTTTGCAGAATCTATTTTTTAAAAAAAAAAATTCTTACTAATGAAATACAAAGGGAACGAAGAAGATTTATCCCAATACAAAAAAAAATGGGTCTTTTTTTTGTAAAGATTAATTTAAACTATTTAATGTCATAAATGTCAGAATATTTTTCTAATTTACAATAATTTATATTTATTACATAAAACAACAGATTTGAAACATTTTTTTTTTTTATGAATTAATTTAAAGAAAATTTTTTGTGTGCCATTTTACAATAGACACAAAACAAACTTCTGTACACACACACACAAAAATACAAACACATATGATATAATTCTTTTGAAAGTTTGAAAGAAAATAAGAAATTTAAATATAATAGAAAAAAATTTTACATAGAGAGATATATTAACATTAAAATATAAATAGAGACAGATAAAGAAAGACATTAACATTTACAAGGGAATTTAAAATAAATATAAATAATTTATACATAGTAGAAATAAAATTGTTCCAATGTCAAAAAAACCACTAATACTACTGTTGCTCTGACTACAGTTAATATAGTTGGTGGATTAATTGATTCATATGTTTTACACTTTATCAACCGTTTGTGGGGTGTCCTAGGTAAGATGATAAACTACATCTGCATCCTCCAAAGAGGATCCAAACTACATCCAACATCAAGGCCTCTCTTCAGGAAGCTTAATTACATATTTTTTTTCCATGTTCAAAGTCCACCTTATGAATGGTATTTTTGGGTCCCATTAAAGGGCAAATGGTTTTTGGACTTTTTTTTTTATTTAAAAATAGGTTTTGAATTTCAAAACACTATGAAAGTGTAAAAATAGGTTTTAATAAAAAGATTCAATAAACTTTTGAAGGGAAAATTATTATTTTTCAGTAATTCATTTTTTGAAAAAAAAAATTATCAGCAATACATTATTGCCAGCAAATTTTTTGAAAAAAAAAAATTATAATATTACCAGCAAACATTTTGTCAAACTAAATATATTGACAGCAAAATTTTTGAAAAAAAAATATTACCAGCAATAAAATTTTGTCGGCATTAAATAACCCATTGAGGTTGATTTGCCATAAAAACAAAATAAACCAAAATTTTTATATTTATTATTTAATAATAAACATGTTAAAAATTTGATATCATAATCAAAACTTTTTTTTTTTTTTTTTTATAATTTTTTAAACATGAAGATTTTACATTTTATTTTTATTTAAAAAAAAATTTTTTAAGATTTAATTTTTTATACAGATTAAAATTTCAAATGTTTTGTTTTAAATGTCTGACAAATAAATAAAGTTTTTCTATGTATTTATAAATTCAAAATTATGTGTACAGGGTGCGATGGATAAATTGTCGTCTAAATTACGAAAAAATGAAAATAACACTGACATCTCATTTTAATAGATATATTTACCAAAATTACACAAAAATATCTTGAAATACTAAAGAGTAAATTTATTCAATAAAATTGTCATTGGCTTCAACCACGGCCTCTAGACAACTTCGGAATCTCCTGCAACTCTTTTGGACAGTCTTCTTGTTTAAGTTGGTGAATGCTGCCATAATCCTTGCCTTCAGTTCATCATCTTTGGTGTTACAAAGAGTTTTGTTGGTCTCTCACTCAACTGTGCCCCACACATAATAATCAACAAGGTTGCAGTCTGGGGAGTTATGTGGCCAGATGTATGAGTTTATATAGTCGCAGAAATTGTCTAATAGACATGACTGGGTTCTCCTGCTTGTGTGGCATGGTGCAGAGTCTTGTTGCCAGACATAGGGTCTTCCAGTAGCCATCCTCTTGAACCAGGGCAGCACTACCTCCTCAAGGCACTTGATGTAGGCCTCCATGTTGAGTCTGAGGCCCCCACTGTGGGAAAATGAATGGAGGCATATCAGAACCATCACTAGTGATCAGCTCCAAACATCTTCATAATCACCATGAGACTCATCCTGCTTTTTCTGAATCCTCTGCACTGCCCTCAGATTGACACCCAAGCACACTGAAATGTTCATATTGGAGCTTCAGGTGTGAATACCAAGCAGTATAGCATGCTGCTGCCAAATTTCTGGCGGACTGAATTGTGTCATGGTGCTCTTTTTCTCACAGGTGGTGCCCAACTGACCCTAATATAGTGTGCAGTCAACAAAATAAAAAACAAATAATGCACATCTGCAAAATTAAAAATATAAAATGGCAACAATTTACTCATTGTACCCTGTATATATAGAAAATAAAGATTTTATTTTTTTTTTCAAAAAAAAATATTTTTTTTTAAAAACCACAAAAAAATAGTTTGATTTTGTCAAAAAGCTTGGTTTGTTCTAGAATATTCTTGAGATCAATTTAAAATCAACATTTTATCTATATTATTGAAATTGGGGATAAATTTAAGATTAATAAAAAATAAAATATTTCAAATTAAAAAAAAATTGAAAAAACAAAAAAAAAAAATATTTTTTTGTCATTTTTTCTGTTGAAATATGAAATATTCGACTCAAAAGTGGAAACATTTCAACAGATTGTTGACAAAATATAATAAAAATTTAAATAAATATAATTTAAATTTTAAATTTAGTTAGTATAATTAAATACAAGTCTAAAAAATTTACTAAAAAATATAGTATTAATAATATAGTTAAATATGATTTATTTCAATCACAATTCTCCTTGCTTAATGAATTTCTAGGCCATTTTACATGAATTACCAGAAGTTTAAAAAAAAGGTCATTAAAATTATAAATGATACCTTTTATATAAATGATTTTTTTAATGTTTATTAAATTTTTAATTCAAATTTAACTTAAAAAAAAAAACATTTTTTGTAGTATTAGCAAAAAAAGAAAAAAATTAACCAAAAAGATGTTGATCTTTTTTTTTTTTTGGGATCAAAATAAAATAAAATTTTTATATATAATATATAAAATATATATATATATATATATATATATATATTTATATATTTCATTTTATAAAAAATATTTATAAGATAATACAATATTTTAGATATTTTTTTGAAGAGTTTTTAATATGTATAAAAAAAATAACATTTTTGTTTTAAGAAACTTATTTACCCATTTCAAAAAAAGTTAAATTTTTATTTTTTGTTTTTTTGTAAAAAAATATATATATATATATATATATATATATATATATATATATATAAATAAATGTCATAAGAAAAAAGTTTTTATATAAAAAAGAAAAAAACTCGTTAGGGTAAATAATCCAAATTCTTTAAAATAAATTTATTATTTAAAAAAAAAATAATTGATCCCAATATTTGAGCAGATATAAAAAATATTTATTTAGAAAATTATAAAATTATAAAAAATTCTTTCATTTCTCATGTGAAAAAAACAAAAGAATGAAAAAAGAATATTTTATTTGAAAAAATGAATTATTTTAAAAAAATCAATATTTTGAATTGAAAAAATATTTTAATTGAAAAATTTAATTATTTTAAAAAAATCTTGTTTTTATTTAATGAATTTTCAATGTTCCTTTTGAAATGTACCTTTGAATTTATATTTAATTTAAATTAATTATATATATATAAATATATATATATATATATATATATATATATTATAATTCTTATATATATGAGAAAAATTGATAAATCATGATGTTTATTTGAAGTGATTACACATGCACATGCATGAACAGACACTTAAAAATTTTAAATTTAAATTTAAAAAAGGTTTTATTTTAAATGTCTGTTTAGGCATGTAGATTCATTTAGTATCTTTTTCTTCTTGTTCATGTTTTTATCACTTGTTATTAAATATCCCAAAATTTGCAAAATAGAAAATCTGCCAAGTGGTTTTAAATTATAAAGAATGGATGCAAATTTTGTGGATGATCTAGCAATTAAAAAACATTTTTTATACATTTTCATATTTTTAAATAAATTTTCTTTTTAATTAAAGTAGCATTTTAAAATCAGAATTATAATCAGACTCATTACATTGAGCAATTTAATGCATTTAATGTGTTATTTTTGTAAAATATCCTTTTGTCTCATATAATTTTTTATTTAAATTTTTGAGGTTTTCCAATGTTTTTTTTTATGGCAATCAATAACTGTCAAAAATATTTTACCATTGATTCAAGTTTTTAGCATACTTTTTTTTTTGTATTTAAGTTTTTAAAAAAAAAAAAATTACAAAGTTTCAGCATTTATAATTTCATAAGACTTATCACCATTTAACATTAATTTAGTTGATGAAAAATTAAAGGACTAAAACCTGTCAAATAAATAATTTTTTATATTTTTCCAATGAATAGATTTTCAAAATTATATTAATATATTTGAAAAAAAAAGATAATAATTAAAAAATCCATGAAATCATGGTCATAATTTATTATTTGAATATTATTATATTCATATCTCTTCAGACCAAGCTTTTTTTTTGAAAAAATTTGTTTTCAGTTTGATGAAGATGAATATAAAATATGAAAATTAAATAAATTATAACTGATATGGATTTTAAAAGAATTTTTTATTTTTCATCAAAAAAATTGCTCTAACATTGCTTATAAATACACATTTTGGATTAATGTCATTTATTTTGGAATTAAAAATATCAATTACAATAAAATTTTAATAATATATATATATATATATATATATATATATATATATATATATATAAAAAATGGGAAGGAAAATATTTTTTTTATCATAAATCATATTAACATTGCTATTTAATTTTTGTATAAATCTTCTGTTTATATATATATATATATATCCCAGCAAAATGGCACCTTTTTAAAATATCTGAAAACCATAAACAAAAAACCCCCAAGCCTTGTGAGTTTGAATTTCATAGACAGATTTTTGTTTTAATACTTTGATATCAGTCCATTCTAGCATGAAATCAAAAGTCATCGTTCGGGGGATTTAATTCGTTTCTTGTTCAAATTGTGAATTTTTTAGATAAAAGAATCATTATTTCCCAGAAAATGTAACTTAAGGTTTATCTTCAATAATTGAAAAAAAAGTAAAAACAAAGTTTGGTTTGAAACTGTGACATAATAACAAATGTTTGAAGGAATAAAACAAATCAAAAGAAATTAAACCATACTAAAAAAATGAATTTATTTCTGCAGAAGTTTAAAAAAAATATATATAATACATATATATATATACAATAAAGATTCAAAAATATATATATATATATATATAAATAATAGAATAATATATATATATATATATATATATATATATATATATATATATATATATTTATATATATATATCAAATATATATAAATATATTTTATATATTATATATATATATCATAAAAATATATGGGGAAAAAATTTGATTTGAAAAATCCTAAAAAAATTTTTATAACAAAATTTAAATTTTTTCCCCCAAATCCATTTTTTTGTCCTTTAGGATACATATTTTAAATAAATTTATTATATTGGTTACTTTTGCATTAAACATAAACATAAAATACATTGGGAATTTTACAAGTTTTAATTTTTTTTAAATGTGACTGATTTCATTTTTTTTTTTTTTTTTCTTTCCATCACAAAAGAAGTTGATTCCCACACTGTGATAATTAGATTTCTATCAAAAAGATAAAAATGTTGCTAACAAATTCAGAATATTCATCATCTGACAATGAGAACCCAAGTTCAAACCCATACCAAAGTTAATTTATCAAAAAAGTTTTTTTATTTCACGATAATAGTTTCCTCTAAAAAAATTTTTATCCCCAGGTGAGTTCAATTGAACAGAAATAATGTTCATAAGCCATTGATAGTTGTCATGCATTAATGAAGTAACATTTCATCATGAAAAATCAAAATATTAAAAAAATTTGGCCTTTTCAATTATTGATCAATGTTTTTTCCCAGAAGCTTAAGGAATTGTTAAATTACATGAAAACAACAACAGGTTTTTCTTTGGGGGTTGGACAAACACAAATATTTTTTTCAAAGGTGTCTGCAAAGGACTGTCTTGACGTCACAAAAATATTAGTCAGCAAAACTTTATGCAGCTTTTAGCCATTATAAAAGGAACAGATCTATACAATTTTTTTCCCCCCACCCCACAAAAATTTCAGTAAGATTTGATTTTTTAATGAATTAAAATATAAATTTTCTTAAGATAATAATGAATATTTTTTTTTTTTTACTAAAAGGTAATTACTTGTATAATAATAAAAAAAATAAAATAAAAATTTTGAATTTTTCTCTTAGTTTAAATATTTTTAAAAATGAAAAAAAAAAAAATTTTAAATAATATATGAATTTTCAATTTTGTTATTTTTGTTATAATTTATTTTTTTTTATCATTTTCCAGAAAAATTATCAATATAACTTTTAAAAAAAGCAAATTAAGAAGCTAAAAACGTAAAAAAAAATTAAAATAAAAAAAATAAAATATCGCATAAAAATGGAAATAAATTATGACAATTTTGATTTTAAAAATTGACACAAAATAAAAAGAATTTAAAAAAAAAAAAATTCGTTTTCATAACATTCGCAGTAAAATGTTATCAGATTATGTTGAGGAATTGTCCCAAAAATACATACTTTACAAAGCAAATACACACAGAACACTAAAAGATAGTTGTTTTGTTATTTTTTTTTACCTATCGTGACATTGGTCTGACACAAGGCCACACGTGTGGGAGTATTTAATTAAAGATTGAACCCACTACACTGGCTGGTTTTCATAGCTAACAACTGCATAACCAGAGATTTGAACAGATTGAAAATGAGAATATACGCGAAGGGTGCTGAAAATTCCTCGGCCTGACCCACTCTCCAAAAAAAACCTGACCAAATAGGATGTTTTTTTAAAGGACTTCTTGTCGACTTAAGAACTTTCTAGCAACACTTCCTACACAAAAATAAACACGAACAGGGTGAGGAAACAATATAAATTCAAAGAAATTTTCATTATCGAATTCGAATTTGAATAATGAATATTTCCTTGACTCTGTTGCAACATACTTTAGTTTTTAAATTTTTAAAATTCACTTCTTTAAAAAAAAAAAAAAAAATCTTGTGGGTGTTTTTAATCATTTGAAAGCTTGCTACCCAAATTTTAAGAATTTTAAATAAAAGTGAAAAAGAAATTATTTAAGTAAAAAAAAAATTATTTAAAAATTAAAAAAAAAATAAGAAATTCCATAATTAAGTTTAAAAATCTATTCAAAAATGTCAAATGTCAACCCAAGATTAAAAAAAAAAAACAGGTATAAAAAAAAAATAAAATAAAAATATTTTCTAATAAAATAAAATTTTATGAATATTTTTTTTTAAATAGGAAGAATTACAAAAAAATATTTTTGGCAATTTTTACTCTTGCCTTTTTTAAAAAAATCTGTTCATTTTTTTTTTTTTTTTAAGACTAGAAAAAACTTCAAATGCTGATTTTCAAGGCAAGACAGA